GCAAAAGACAAGAATAAATAAAAACAAAACAGGAAAAAATAAAGAAAAATTACAGAGAAAAATATTCATGGAAGAAAAATTTGAAAGATCTGCAAAGGACCGAAGAATGTTAAGATCCCTGATACCCATGTAAATCTCCATGAAAAAGTGACTTCAGGAGAAGGGGAAATCAGTGATCAAGTAGATTGAATGACACATTCTGTGGAATAGGAGCCTCTTTCCCAAGCTATCCTTGTTATTGCCTGATGTGCTCATGATAAAAAAGACTAGGTAGGTGAGATGGGGGTTACCCATGGGCTCAACAATATGGACATCCAATCAACAAGTTTGTCCTGGTTACAGCTGTTGCTGATTGCCAGTTCTGCCAGAATCAGAGACCAACACAGATACCAAGAAATTTTACCATTCCCCAGGCAGACTACAGGTACTACTTCCTCTGTGAATGGATAGCACTTTGGTCTTACTGGAGTTGGTACTTATTCTAGTTCTGTATTTGGTGTCCTTGCTCATAATGACTTTACTAAACCTGTCACAGAATGACTAACCAAATCCGTGTCTCCCATCACGTGGCAGTAACCAGGATGGCTGGTGCAGATGTTTCTAGGAGGTAGTATATGCTTTGACTCAGAAACCAACATATGGTATATTATGTTCTTTGTAAAGATCCATGGGTCCAGACACCTGGTGGTAGAAAAGGGAGGAGTTCAACCACTATTACCCTTGTTCAACTCCAGGTGAAATTTTTGCATCCTCTTCCCATGACCTTCAGTTCTTCTGGTCTGGATATTTTTGTTTAAAGGTGATGTATGGATTGGTGGCAGTACTGCTGACTGGAGCCACAAGAAACATTCCATTGAATTGAAATCTTAGTCTTCTCCCAGGCCACTTTGTGCTTCTAAGGTCTTAAGCGAACCTGCTAAAAAAAATCTATAGTGCTAGTGGGTATGAATGAACAAGATAACAAAGAGTACATTTGATTGTTGCTCCAAAAGGGAGGTAGCAACTATTATGGCATTTGATCACGCCAAGAATGGGTTTTGTCATACCCACAGAAGAAGAGTAAAGACCATCAACCCAAAATGTACTCAAATTATGTTATCCTTATTTTCTGCAGTGATAGGTTTTCTTCATAAATCCGGGTTTCATAGAATATCCATTTTTATAGGAGAATTGGGACTCTTACTCCATCCCCCAAAGTCAATGTTTTCAAAGGATTGGGGTCTTCCAGTGGAATTGTGGTGATATAATAACTTGGCAGAACATCTTACCTTCATAGGGTAGAGGTTAGGTTAAGGGGTGTGCAACATGTCAAAATACAGAAGCTTTATTATTTTGCCCTTCTAAAATTATGGGTTCTGATCTGGATGGATTCATTCTGGTCCATGAGTAGTAGAGGAAGGTAATTACAAATGCAAATTAAAGCCACGTGAACAATTATACAAAAGAAGATTAGAGTTTGCATGAATATTCTGTTGTATATTTTAGAAATGTGTTCATAGAGATATGTGTGTTTTCTTTCAACTTCTTTGTCATTTGATGTAACAGTACATAGGTGAATACCAATGGTTATCATATTTAAGTTTGAGATACTAAAAGATTGTCCCACAAGGAACATGGTAACCTCTTGTAAATTAACAATGAATTTGTGGTTGTTTGGGGGACAGTTGTATCATGTAGGTGAATTTATAACTTCGTTAATTATATATTGCATTTGCAATTATTATGAAATAATTTGATTATGTTGGGTGAAATTATGAGGTGGTTACTGTTTTCATTTGGAAATTCATCAGGGTATAAGGTGAAATGACTGTGTGTCACATTGAGAAAGGATTGACTTATAATGGCTAATCTTGGTTTTCAACTTTACTACATCTGTAATAAATGAAAATCTGAAAATGAAGGGAACAAAAGTGAGGTAATTTCGATTAATTTTAGGTAAGAAGAACTATATATATGTTGTGCTGGGAGACCCACTCCTTTATTCTGGTTCTTGATGCAGGAAGACATACTTGTAATTGGACCCCACCATCTGGTAGAAGTATATGAAAAGCATAGAAGATAAAGTTTTATGCTTTTCCTGCTTGCTCATGTCTTGCTAGTAAGTTTGCAGGCTTTCTTGCCTTTAGTGGCATAGAACCTTCTTTGGAATTCCATTATCTACTCAAGATCATCTAAAAGACAAAAAGAATCAAGGACTGAGCAATTTTTCAGTGTATAGTATTTCTGTGTATAGCCAGACATTGTTGGATTTCCTGTAGCACAGGATATGTCATTCTTACAATTAGGCACACACATTCATAATGAGAGAAAATCCCCATTCACTTTTTCTGTTGGGGTGTATGAATATGTGGTGGTGGCCAACTCTGAAGGTCCTTATAGTGTCTCTTTTCTCTCTGTCTCTCAGTCTCTGTAAACCTCTGCTTCTTTATCATTTTCACACTTTCTCTCTCCATCTCGCTTTGTTCCTGCCTATGTGCCTGTCTTTCTGTCTCTCATTCTCTGTTTGTCCCTCCTTTTCCATCACTTTTTGTCTGTCTCTTTCTAAGTATTTCCTCAAGTTGATCCATCTGTGTATTTGTGTGTGTGTGTGTGTGTGTATGTGTGTGTGTGTGTGTTTGCCTTCACCTATTTCTATGTGATTCTGTCAGTTATTTTCCTGTGATGACCAGTAAATTTCTCTAGTATGAGAACACCTTTGCTAACAAAATGCTGTGGCAACTCCTGTTGGGGAACTGATTATCTTTGTTTACCTGTCAGATTATCCACAGAAATTTCTTTCTCAAATAAAACAGCACCTGCCATGTTCCTAGAATGAGAGACTATATGAAGATATCTGGTACTTCCTGCCACTGGGAGTCTCTGGTCTCCTGAGAGAGGTAGCATCCACTCTCTAGGAATATGTTCATGTTATGTCCTGATGTGAGGTAGAAGCAGCACTGGAGAGAAACTTTCAGGAGAAACAGACTAAGAATGGTTTCTCCTGAGCTGATATATTCATATCCTCAGTTCTTAGTGGGCCACTTCAGGCATGATGAACTGGAGAGAGATGAAACATGTAGGGCAATTTACAGAACACATTTGAAGTGGAACCATCTAAAACCCCTTCTTCAGTAACTGTTCAATGTATTCTGCTGAAAAAACAAAATACCCCTCATTTTTTAGGGTCTGCAGCATATAACTATAAATTTAGTCACCAGTAAAGGATGCAACGCATGCGGTATTGTAAATTTGCATTTTGGCAGTCAATATGATGGAATTTGGAAGCATTTAGGATCTTCTCATAGTACACCATTGTTGGATCTGCAAGGGTATTTCCAAGGTGGATTATCTACTGGGGAGAAGAAAAATAACCAATCAAATTTGGTGGAACCATTGCAGGAACTGGAAATGGAATGTATTTGATTAAAGACAGGAAAGAAAACAAACACTTTGAGATGTCTCTGCCTGGCTCTGCTTCCTGTCTATCATACATGAATTTTTTTCACCTTGACCTCTATGGTGTGAACAGAGACCCCCTGATGACATAACAAAAAACCCTCTTGCCAGATCATGTTTGTGGTAGGAATTCATGAAACACCATGAGTAGTGTAAAAAAAAACTGTGCAGACATGGACATTATACCCTCTTTTAAAAATGATTTACCACAATAAGAAAAATACAATTGTTATGTCTAGTCTTGGTTCCCAATTTACCTAACTCTGGGACTAAACTAACTAAAATTCAACTTTGAAATGTATGCTTGTGAGAAAATATTTGCTTAAGTTGAAGTAGGTAGATAACACCTCCAAAATGAACTTTGGAGGTCCAAAGTCTGTTTTAACCATTTGGAGTAGCCCCACTTGGTGGCGCCAGTCTGTATTAAATTGTGTTTTTACCTGAGAGGGGAGTATGGAAAAGACAGAGACACAAAACAGAGTCAGGAGGGAAATTCACTGAATATTGAATGCCCCAAGATTTTTCTTCAACATTCTTAAATGCCTTAAACAAAGAGTGGAAAATGTCACAAGACTTCTTCCTAACATTTGGTAACCACACCTTAGATGAAATCTCAGACTAACCGGCCTTGAAGGTTAAGAGGAACCGCTGCATGACATCAAGTCTCTAGTTACTTAGATAAGACATCCTTGACTAAGACCAAAAATCCTTCAGTAGCCATGCATTAAACCTTCTGGTCTTACATTTTTAACCTTGGAAGAGTAAGGATAGCTTTGAACTCTATGACATTAAGCCAAGATGAAGCAAAGGCATTTTTACAAGACCACCAAAAGAGACAAATATTTAATCCAGATCTTGAGGCCAGTTAGCACACACCTTTAATCCAGAACTTTAGTTCAGGTGAAACACCATTATCTGGGCTTCTCCCTCCCATGCAGAGTATGAAAGGCCATGAAACAAGGAGGTTTTTTCTCTTTTACTGCCTCCCCTCACTTTGCCGAAATTCCTTGGCTTCACTGGAATTACAGAATACTTCTTCTCACTTTCAGCATTACTGACCACCAGCCAAAAGACACTTCTTACCTTCTAGTTTGAGTAAGTACTGGACTTTGAACTTGCCTTGACTGCTAGACATTGTAGTATGAAAGTGACCCCAGAACTAAGTCATTCTAAGGAATCCCCTTTCCTCAAATATAGAGAAATCCATTGCATGTGTACCATTGCTTTAGAGAACACTAGCACTACAATATTCCAATAAGACAGTATGAAATGTTCAAAACAATTCAAAAGATGTTTGTAAATGTCAAAATTGACCTATTGTGGTAAGATTCATTCTGGAAAAATGGTGTGAGGTAGTAGTCCCCAGTAGACGAGACTGTGTTCTCTGAAACCTATATTACAACCTGAATGCAAAATGTCACAAAAACTCAAGATTTCAAGAAAAGAATAGGAAGTAGAAATGAAAACAGAAACTAAAACTTTAACTATTATCTCTAATTGTGAACTCCAGGTTAAAGAAGGAATACTCTAGTTCTTCGTTTTGCATCGAAGTTAAACTTCAAAATACCACAAGAAATATGTCAGAGGAATTGGGAGTGGAGAGCTGGGACTACACACCGATCAACATCCAGAAATACTACTACAGGTGGCCCATCTGCAATTTCCGTTTTTACTTGGAGCAAATGCAGGAATCAAGCATTAAGAGTCCTGCTTTCTCATCAGGTGCCAATGACACACATGAATGGTGTTTGAAAGTACACCTGAATGGGGTCGATGAAGAAAGCAAAGGTTACTTGTCAGTTTCTTCAAGGTTGCTCAGCTGTCCAAAGCACCCAGTATGGGCAAAGTTCCAGTTGCAGATCCACAATGCTGAAGGAAAGAAATCCCAAACAATGAAGATCCCAACATACTTAAGGTTTCTGCAATACCATCACTGGACATTCAGAAAGATCATCCTTCGAGATTTCATTTTTTCCCGGGAGCCTTCGCTTCTCCCAGACTCCAAGCTCATTCTCATGTGCAAGATGAATGTGGTCCAAGATGACTTCTGCATCTCTGGTGAGAGCACGATGCCAGGGATCCAAGTTCCAAGGTGCACGATGGCAGATGAGCTAGGAGAGCTGTGGGAGAATCCCCTCTTCACAGACTGCTGCCTGGTGGTAGCTGGCCAGGAATTCTCGGCTCAAAAGGTCGTCTTAGCAGCTCGTTCTCCAGTTTTCAGAGCTTTGTTTGAACATGACCTGGAAGAGAACAGAAAAACCGCATTGAGATCCATGATGTGGAGCCACAAGCCTTCAAGGCAATGATGGGCTTCATTTACACCGGGAAGGTACCAGACCTGCAAAGAATAGCAGCTGCTCTTCTTTTTTTATATTTATACTATTTTTTTATCATCTTTTATTTTAATTTTAAATAGCTTGTTTTACATGTCAATCCCAGTTCCCTCTCCCTCCCCTCCTCCCGCACTCCCCTTCCACCCTCCCTCCCACCCTATTGCCAAATCCTTCCACATAGGGGATATCTAGAGTCTATCATTTTACTCTTGGTAGGGTCAAGGCACTCCCCTAAGAGTCCAGGCTGAGAGAGCATCTCTCTTTGTGCTATAGGCACATGAAGACAGATTGTATACCAGGGATAGACACTGATCCACAGCTCAGGGCCCCATAGGTTGCCCAGGCCTTCTCACTGACACTCACATTTGGGGGGTCCAGATCAGTCCCATTCTGGCCTCCCCACTGTCGGTCTGGGGTCCAAGAGCACTCCCCTGTTCAGATCAGCTGTCTCTGCTGGTTTTGCCAGCCCATTCTTTGCCAATTTGCTCATCACTCCTCTCTCTCTGTCACTGGGTTCCTTGGGTTCAGTTCAGTGCTTAGTTGTGTGTTTGCCTCTGCTTCCATCAGTCACAGGATGAAGGCTCCCGGATGGTTATAGACATCAAGTTCATTATCAGGAATGGGCATTCGAGGTGGTCCTTCCACTATTGCTTAGCTTGCCAATTGATGTTATACCTTTAGATCACTCGAGGTCACTCTGGTGCCTGATCTGTCTTCGATCCTATGATTCCCTCTTCCCCCTATTTTACCCCCACCCCTCAACTTCCTGTTCCCCCATGACCAACTCCCTTCCTCTTTACCCCCTCTATTCTTCCCAGGTCCCACTACCCCCCTTGCCGTGTTCCCCATCCATTCAGAGGATCTTGTCTCCATCCTCTTCTCTTGGGTACTATGCATATATGCATATCTTTTAGGTTCTTTCCTGTTTCCCAGACTCTCTATCTGTGGAAGTGCAGACTGGCACTATCCTGATCCATATTTAAAATCCATATATGAGTGAGTACATACCATGTTTGTCTTTTTGCGACTGGGTTACCTCACTCAGGATGGTTTCTTCCAGTGCTATCCATTTCCCTGCGAATTTCAAGATTCCATTGTTTTTTTCTGCTGAGTAATACTCCATTGTGTAAATGTACCACATTTTCTCTATCCACTCTTCAGTTGAGGGGCATCTAGGTTGCTTCCAGGTTCTGGCTATTACAAACAATGCTGCTATGAACATAGTGGAGCAGATGCCCTTGTTGTATGAACCTGCCTCATTTGGATAAATGCCTAAGAGTGGAATTGCTGGGTCTAGTGGTAGATTAATTCCCATTTTCCTGAGGAATCTCCATACTGATTTCCAAAGAGGCTGTATGAGTCGGCATTCCCACCAGCAGTGGAGGAGTGTTCCTCTCTCTCCACATCCTCTCCAGCATAAATTGTCTTCGGTGTTTTTGATTCTAGCCATTCTGACAGGAGTAAGATGGTATCTCAGAGTTGTTTTGATTTGCATTTTCCTGATGGCTAAGGATGTTGAGCACTTTCTTAAGTGTCTCTTGGCCATTTTAGCCTCCTCTACTGAGAATTCTCTATTTAGCTCTGTACCCCACCTTTCAAGTGGATCCTTTGGTGTTTTGGAGACTTGTTTCTTGAGTTCTTTGTAAATTTTGGAGATTAGCCCTCTGTCAGATGTAGGGTTAGTGAATATCTTTTCCCATTCTGTGGCCTGCCTTTTTGTCTTTTTGATTGTGTCCTTTGCCTTACAGAAGCTTTTTAGTTTCAGAAGGTCGCATTTGTTAATTGTTGATCTCAGTGCCTGTGCCACTGGTGTTATGTTTAGGAAGTGGTCTCCTGTACCAACTCGTTGAAGAGTATCTCCCACTTTCTCTTCTAAAAGTTTCAGTGTGGCTGGATGTATGTTGAGATCTTTGATCCATTTGGACTTAAGTTTTGTACAAGGCGATAAACATGGATCTATCTGCAGTCTTCTGCATACCAGTACCCAGTTATGCCAGCACCATTTGTTGAAGATGCTTTCTTTTTCCACTGTACAGTTTTAGCTTCTTTGTCAAAAATCAGGTGTTCATAGGTGTGTGGGTTAAAATTAGGGCTTTCGATTTGGTTCCATTGGTCTACCTGCCTATTTTTGTGCCAACACCAAGCTGTTTTCAGGACTATAGCTCTATAATAGAGCTTGAAGTCAGGTATGGTGATGCCTCCTGAAGTTCCTTTATTGTATAGGGATGTTTTGGCTATCCTGGGCCTTTTGTTTTTCCATATAAAGTTGATTAATGTTCTTTCCAGGTCCTTGAAGAATTGTGATGGAATTTTGATAGGGATTGCATTGAATCTATAGACTGCTTTTGGCAAGATTGCCATTTTTATTATGTTGATCCTACCAATCCAAGAGCATGGGAGATCTTTCCATTTTCTGGTATCTTCTTTGATTTCTTTCTTCAAAGACACAAAGTTCTTGATATACAGGTCATTTACTTCCTTGGTTAACATTATCCCCAGATATTTGATGCTGTTTTTGGCTATTGTAAAAGGTGATGTTTCTCTGATTTCTTTCTCAGTCACTTCATCATCTGTATATAATAGGGCCACTGATTTTTTTGAGTTTACCTTGTATCCTGCCACATTGCTGAAGGTGTTTATCAGCTCTAGGAGTAACCTTGTGGAGTTTTTTGGGTCACTTATGTAAACTATCATATCATCTGCAAATAATGAAAGTTTGACTTCTTCTTTTCCTATTTGTATCCCCTTTATCTCCTTTTGTTGTCTTATTGCTGTAGCTAGAACTTCAAGTACAATATTGAAGAGATATGGAGAGAGTGGACAGCCTTGTCTTGTTCCTGATTTTAGAGGAATTGCTTTGAGTTTCTTGCAGCTGCTGACAAGTATGGCCTGGAACGTTTGAAGGTCATGTGTGAGGATGCCCTCTGCAAGGACCTCTCCGTAAATAAGGCTGCCCATACTCTCATCCTTGCTGACCTACACAGTGCAGAGCAGCTGAAAACCCAGGCACTGGATTTCATTACAGCGCATGCTTCTGAGATCTCTGAGACTTCAAGCTGGAAGACAATGGTGGGCTCACATCCCCACTTGGTGGCTGAAGCATACAGCTCCCTGGCTTCTGCTCACTGCTCTTTACTGGGGCCACCCCCCAAACGCCTGAAGCAATCTTAGAATCCTCCTACCTCAGACCTACAGGTATATTCCAGAAGCAGCAGCCAGCATTGTTACCCTGGACTCCTGGGTAGACTGGGGCCATTGTAGACATTTTTAGAGAATTTGTGGAAAGGAAGCATGGGGGCATAGGCCTTTAATAACCCTGGAAAGTAGTTGAATATAGGTTTGGTGTAGGGAGAGCACTGTATTCTAGGATACAATGCAATTGCTGAAGTACTTTGCTTTCTCTACAGCAAGTTGGATACTGGTGAATCAGTTGGGTTGTTGCCCCCAAGAACACCCCAAAAGCATTTCTTTAAAGGAACCTGACTGGATTAGACTGAGCAGAGCATATGATCAAGGATTTAGAGCAAAGGAGGAAACAAACATGAATGTGCTTACAAGAGACAAGGAAGAGAAAGAAGATAGTTTTTCTCTCCTAACTCAGTGTGTGGGGACTGGAGGATTGACTCAGTTGGCCAAAGCAATTGTTACTCCTACAGAGGAGGACTTCATGATTTCAGATCTCATCATACATGGGTGACCCTCAACCATCTCTAACTGGAGACTCACAGGACTGGAGTTCTCCTCTTGTGTCTGTAAACTAAACACACTATGAAGTGAATAAAGTTTTGATAATCAATTTGAG